GCAGTGACTGCTGACAATGGCAGAGTCTGTACACCATGCTTTGTTTACATACATGCACAGCCCCCCTCCCCTGGTCTTACCGGAGTCGTCAGCTGATCTGTCTGCTCTGAAGAAGTTACACCCAGTTAGCTCAACGGCGCTATTGGGAACGCCGCTGTTTAGCCATGTTTCCGTGAAGATCATGATGTTGCAGTCCATCATCCGTTTGTGGTTGACGATGCGTAGTCGTATCTCATCCATTTTGTTCATTATAGACCGCAGATTGGCGAGGAAAATGCTGGGTAGGGCGAGCCGATGTGGCGTTAGCTTCAGTATAGTATATAGTATTTCATACCTGTTTTTCATTTATTCTCTTATTTTTGTATACCTATAATGATCATATAAACGTGTGCCTCGGAAATAATTGTTTACATTAATCGTGACCAAACCGTTTGAGACCCACTGAGATAACTTAGTCTAAAGTTAACTATCTAAACACTGAGAGAGTCCTTTAGCTCACTGAGCCTCTCAGTCTGACAGGAGAGGACTCTCCTCCACCTTGTTGTTGAAAAAGCTCCTTATATCCGTTAGCGTAGCTCGCTAGCACCAGAAGCTAACAACAACGATCTCCGGTACCGGTGTGCGCTCTCTCTCTCTCTCTCTCTCTCTCTCTCTCTCTCTCTCTCTCTCTCTCTCTCTCTCTCTCTCTCGCTCTCTCTCTCGCTCTCTCGCTCGCACACGCACACAAAATGGCTCGTTCTACACACACACAGAGCCGAGCTTGAATGAAACACAGAGACCCAGACGTACTTGTACTGTACTGTAGCATATTATTTTTGGAATCAACAATAACTCTGCACGGATAGTGCGCGCAACATGATTGCAGCGTCCAGGCAGCTCCCGTTCGAGCATATATGCCTTGAGCTGCACATAGCTCCAACGATCCATCACAGTGTCTCCGCACGCACGCACGCACGCACACACGCACGCACACACACACTCACACTCACACACTTTGTATTGTATGAGAGAGGTTCCAGGTTGAATTGAGGCGAATATTTGTAATGTTCAGAGGTTGTTGTGTTTAATATTCATGAGAATATTTGTCATTGTTCAAATGATAATAAACAAACATATAAAGCATATTTGTCCACTCATATGTTGATAAGAGTATTAAAAACTTGAAAAATATCCCTCTAAGGTACATTTAGAACAGATAAAAAATGTGCGATTAATTTGCGATTAATCGCGATTAACTATGGACAATCATGCGATTAATCGCGATTAAATATTTTAATCGACTGACAGCCCTAGTTAAAATACGTAGTATATTCACGTTCTCCTGGCGAGACCTCAAATAATCTTCGTAATATCTATCAAACTATAGATCCTACACATCCACTGGACGTAGATTTTAAAAGTACAATATACACTTCTCGCTAGAAATCGAATCAAAAAGCATTTTAATGGCCAAACTATCCTACGATTTAGGATTTTCCACAAAAAATAAGTCGGGTGACCGCCATGTTTTTTTTTCTCACGCTGGGAAAGTTTGCGATCACGTGACATGGACACTGGTCATTAGAAATGAATGGGGAGAAAAATGGTATCAGTGTCACGTTTTGAGACGGTTATTTGTGAAGATATTACGTCTTGCCCTGTGGACCAACGTAGCTATTTCAAGTTTTTTTGTGAGACTGGGTTAAAGAACTTGGTACCAAACGTATGTGAGTCGATCCAACACCATGCTGTGGAAATGAGGCAAGAGGTTAACTTGGAACAATATTCAGTATGAAAATGTTATCTTGTTTCTGTGATCCTGCAGGTGTTGGGGCCAGCCCATATGTTATTAACTGCAACGTCACTATTGACACCCAGGACTTGGCCTTAGGACGCAGCATCGCCACAGCCATCAGGGAGTCGACCCCCGGGGGGCTGCCGGGGGTGCAGGTGCTGGCGCTGCCACATGATGGCGCTGTGGAAATCGCATGTAATGTGGAAAGCGTGAAAGGGCGCTACCCTAGCAACATGACTGCAGGAGAACCATGGCCGAGTTTCAGCATCCAGGGCCAGCCCTACTGCCATGCTCCAGCTTCTCTGATCACTGCAAGAGTGGCAGAGCTGGCAGGGAGGCAGGGGATTAGTACAAAGAACACCGCGCTGGTGGGGTTTACCCCCCACGAGTGCAGGGGCCTGGCAGAGTTAGCGCTGTCACAAGGGATTGCTGAGTTCTGGAAAGAGCAGCACAGGATCAAAATGTGAAAATAAATAATTGCCAAAAACAGGAATCCTCACGCTTCTTTGTTTTATGTCATATTAATTTGTTAAGCCCCCCCCCCCCTCTGTTACCATTGCTAACCCTGTCAAGCTTCCCATTGATGCATGTTTGCAGTTTAATGTAATGGTGGCAGATTTACCTCTCAAATTCTTAGTTATTGTTTAATCAATAGGTCTTTGATTTCACACAGAAAAAGCTAAATATTTTTTCATAATTGTTCATAGCTGATTTTATCATCTGTCAGCTAACACTGTGTCTTCAGAAGGCTTATCAGACATTCCTCGGAGTGTCTTATTACCACTATGGAGAATATTGTGTCATCCTCTAAAACACACCTGCTGATCAGTGCCATTCTAATCTGACTCTTGCAGTTGAGGAGATTTGGGTTTTTGTTTATTTTCTACCAAACCAAGACCAAAAGCCATACATCCCATCATGTCCAGAGTGGAATTTAAATGTGTTTGCCATTTCCTGTTTGGATCAAATAGGACACTTGTGTTTACTGATGAGTCTCTGCTGATGACTCTTCCCATGATGTTCACCATCAACCTTACAATGCATGACTCTATGGAAGAGTCACCATCTGTGCGTAAAACAGCTATTTTGATCACAAGTCATGAACTGAATCTTCAAGAAGCATCCAGCGCTGGCAACATGTTTAATTTTGTATTGTATATTATTATAGTTTAAATAAAGCAGCTTGTCAATATATATGCAGTGTGTGATGCATGTGATTAACCATTAATATCGTGAAGGCGAATTACGCCAGAGGACAGGTCAGGAATGAACTGGGGCGAGATGATTCCACTAATGTCTTACATAAGGCCAGTACAATGCATTGAATAGCAGCACATCATGCAGTAAGGAGGTATGGATTTGAATCATTAGGCAATAATAATGAGCTATATGGATGTGATACAAAAGCAGGGTCGGAGTGAGTTTTTAAAGGGAAAAAAAACACTTCAAGACGATGTTTAATTTAAGCCATATGCACAGGATATTAGTGATTCCAGAGCCAATAACTGCCTAATCTACATGCAGAGTGTGGGTGCTAATCTGTTAAGCTTTACGCACAAACCGAGGTAGTATGAGTCATAACATCTTCCAGTAAAAATATCCTGCTTTGGCTTCAATGTCTGAATCTACTATCATTTCAATATGTTGTGATGTTTCTTACATTTTTTTGCATTTGAAGTAAGATGACAACTCGCCCTTTGAGGCAGGAGCCATGCAGTCTTCATCAATATTTGTGTTCTTTGGATAATCTCTCTTCCTGTGAACATTCACCTCTCTGTATGTCATCCAGCTGAGGCTCAGTCACACAAGCAACGCAGCCATGCAGCTTCATATCTCACATACACACACACACACACACACACACACACACACATCCTTTCTCTCTCCCCTCTGCTGTCTTCCTCTTCTTTCTGCATCTAGACACACATGCAGATGCATTTACTTTATGGATGACACACACACACACACACACACACACACACACACACACACACACACACACACACACACACACACTCAGCCTGCCAGGCTTGGGAGCATCAAGGCCTAATCTAGGTCACAGCATAAGCCCAAAGGTATCCCGGTCTCCACAAACACACACACACACATATACTCTCACATGCACGCATGTTTTTAAATTTGCAAGCAAAATGTAATCTTGGGTACAAAATCGATTTTGACTTTTAACTTCCATTAGCTTTCAGTGAAAAGCGTTTGATTTGGAAACGCCTCACTTCCCAGGAAAAAGGGGACTTTAAATAAAACCAGCTAAATTCATATCTCCCAAATATCCCCTCCCCATCTTCATCTCCTTCCTCCCTAACAACCTTGTTGGTCAGTCTAATGGCTTTTATGATTGTCACAAGGTCATCATTTTCCTGATGAAGAGCACTTTCTCTCAGCAGCTCACTCAGTTAATATCCGTTGTAGGAACACTTTCCCACTGGAGCCTGAATGTATTTATTGATGTGCAATCCGCTTCGATAACCACATGACTGTTCCTGCCTGTGCTGCAGTTTGTGCGTCCTCGCTGCAGAAGCAGGATCCCTGTGATGTGACTCAGCCTGACAGCCTCCCATACAAGATGCGACCGTGTGTCACAGCACAGAAATAGAGGAGCTTATTTCTTTACATCAGTCTTCAGCTCTATAAATATTTCAAAGCTCTCTTTTCTCCCTCTCCCTCCTTTTCTTTTCCTTTCTGTAGCTTTCTCAGCCCCCCCCCCCCATTCTCCCCTCTCTCTATTTGTCAATTTTTCTCCGACACACTCTGCCTCCCACATCTCCTCTTCTCCCTCTGCCTCTGTCGTATAATGTGGAGAGATGTGTCTTGCCTGTCTGGAAAGAAGCAGCGGTGTTCAGCAGCAACAAAAACACTCATGTGCTGCAGATCCTTTCTGTGAGGTTTGTTTCCCCCCTCCGACATTCCTGCAGGGCTCTTTAGTAATCTGACAGTGATTTTATCATGTCACATACAGACATCCACTACTTCCTCCCTTCCTTACTTTGCTGTCCAACAGATTTCCACCAATCAAGTGCAGCATGACAGTTAATCACAGCCATTAATCCCGTCTTCCACTCCTCAGATCTTTGATTGAGAAATAGCCTGTTTACCAGAAATGGAGACCACACTGGATCTAACTGACTGCTAGTTAGGTGCCTAAAACCTAAGCTCACAGTGCCATCCTCCCTAACCTGGCAGTGTGGGAAGTAAGCGTGCCACCTATGAAGGCAGCAGTCCCCAACCCCCACCCTGAACACATGTTCAACATCCTCTGGGCAAAGGCTGAGCGAGCACTGAGACACAGCTGAGAATTAGAGAGAGAGAGAGAGTGGAAGAGGGAGAGAGAGCAGTGAAGTGGAAATATGGGTGAGCATCAGAGGAAGACAGAAATAGAGCGATAAAGCAGTGAAGTAGGAAGAGGCAGTGAGCGGAGGAGGAGAGTCTTTCTCTGTGGCGCTGATGCTTCATGCAGACCAGCTTATTTCTGCTAGCAGGAGGCTCTGGTGTGTGGATGTGAGAACCTTGTGGATTTGCTCCAGTCTCAGTAGAATTCATTGCACCAGGATCCAAAACAACAGACAGAGGATGCGACCGTGGCTGGATGCTATCATCCATGTGGGCCTGTGACGACTGCACCTCTGTGGCTACCTTCTTCATCATAAGGATGCTTCCAGCAGCACTGACCCAGATTGTGGAGCTCTCCACTGTGCTCTGCTCCTCCGGTGGTCTCTGAATGTGATGTGCGAGAGGAATGATCTGCACCTCCTCTGCTGACATCTGTCTCTGTGGATACTCACAGCCTCCGACAGGGTAAGGACGCACTGCTCTGATATGCACGCTTAAATGTCAGGCTGATGGGTTTTGTGTGTGCACGTGCCTGTGTGTTAGCCATTGATTGAAGCCATTACAAATCACTACGACCACGCAGACCTGATTTCTATTGCTCACATGCTCCCTCTTGAACACATACATTGAGATTGTTTTCTTTCAGATGCTTCAAAAGGTTCCAAATTGTGCTGATGAACTGATGCCATATTGTAGTCATGCACTATGCAGTATAGCTCCATGTATAATGTATGACTAGGAGATATCATGGTTGGCAACAAGTAACTGCGCTTCCCCCAAAGTACTGAGGAAAGTAGGCTAAGATGGCACAGGCTGAGAAGACCTGAATAAAACATTGATAAAGTCCTTTTGGTTTCTGAAAGCTTTTGGCTTCGTATTGATTGGAGGGAAAAATGGACATGAGAGAGGATTTGATCCTTTACACTGGGGGAAATAAAGTACTTGTATTCAGCTGAATTCCATCGGATCCAGGCTAATAAAGACAAATTCAACCCAGTAGCTTTCTTTCAGTCTGGTCAGGTCAGGTCAGTTCATTGTAATTTGATCAAGCGTCAGAAGTCAATAAGACACAGAACAGATCAGCATGTCTTCTACCACAAGACAAAGCCGTGTCATTTGACCAGGGTTCAGACATTGGGACCAGAGGTCAGACTGAGGTCAATGTTTCACCAAAGAGCCAAACTGTCTCATTTAATTAGGTAATTACACACGTGTCTTATGATGTGGAGCGTGGGATGCTAACATTTAGTCCCTTTACTTGTCTTTTCTCTAAAACTGAAATCTACTGGAAGGTTACCTGAATATATTTTAATATATCACGTTCAGCTGAGTACAGTTAAGAATATATACAAAGGCCTACTGGGTAATATTAGGCAATACTTGGTTAGATTTAGGGAAATAGTGTGGTTTGAGTTTACAAAAGTTTGGGACGTCGTAACTACCTTACATGATGTTAGGTATTAATAAAGTAACAATAGCTTTGTACCTAAAAAATACCATGTTGACATTTGTTTTCATCCTGGTCATCAACCTTAGTCCCCTTGGTGGAAGTTTTACTTTTGTTGGACCCATCCATTTACACTGGTCTCATACAAACCAGACTTTTGTTGCACTTTTAAATATTACACACAACTCCTCCTTCTCTCCCATCATTATTACTAAGACCAGGTTGCAGCCTTAAAACATATGGGTTGTAATAATCTGCTTGCAAAGAAGACCCATTGGTCCTGAGCAATACCAAGTAAAGTAAGAAGTCTATCAGATGAAAGGTTGTGGAGAAACTCGAACAACATACATATATACAGACAGACATTCTTTCCCTATGAATTATATTGCTCAATGTATTGTCAGTATCATGTTCAAACTGTTGGCCGGGTTACACTAGAAAATAACTAGTTTGTTCAAAGTTTGTTCAACGTCAGAAGTGTTTATTCCTTACAAACTGTATCAATTTCAGAGGTGAAAAGCTGTTGCAAGTGGGAGACGCAACACCGTTTAAATATAAGGGACATGCCACACATTTTCAGAGGGGTATTATTACTGTTTCACTCTAGTGTTGGTCTTGTGAGAAATGCCAGAAATAGTTGTGTGAAAACTGAAAAAAGAGAGCCACTAAAAGTAGCTACCCTCCTCAAAGGTAGGTAGCAGCACCTCCCACCTTATAGTCACTTCAGACAGACAGGTAGCAGCACCTCCCACCTTACAGTCACTTCAGACAGACAGGTAGCAGCACCTCCCACCTTACAGTCACTTCAGACAGACAGGTAGCAGCACCTCCCACTTTACAGTCACTTCAGACAGACAGGTAGCAGCACCTCCCACCTTACAGTCACTTCAGACAGACAGGTAGCAGCACCTCCCACCTTACTGTCCCTTCAGACAGACAGGTAGCAGCACCTCCCACCTTACAGTCACTTCAGACAGACAGGTAGCAGCACCTCCCACCTTACAGTCACTTCAGACAGACAGGTAGCAGCACCTCCCACTTTACAGTCACTTCAGACAGACAGGTAGCAGCACCTCCCACCTTACAGTCACTTCAGACAGACAGGTAGCAGCACCTCCCACCTTACAGTCACTTCAGACAGACAGGTAGCAGCACCTCCCACCTTACAGTCACTTCAGACAGACAGGTAGCAGCACCTCCCACCTTACAGTCACTTCAGACAGACAGGTAGCAGCACCTCCCACTTTACAGTCACTTCAGACAGACAGGTAGCAGCACCTCCCAATTTACAGTCACTTCAGACAGACAGGTAGCAGCACCTCCCACTTTACTGTCCCTTCAGACAGACAGGTAGCAGCACCTCCCACTTTACTGTCCCTTCAGACAGACAGGTAGCAGCACCTCCCACCTTACAGTCACTTCAGACAGACAGGTAGCAGCACCTCCCACTTTACAGTCCCTTCAGACAGACAGGTAGCAGCACCTCCCACCTTACAGTCACTTCAGACAGACAGGTAGCAGCACCTCCCACCTTACAGTCACTTCAGACAGACAGGTAGCAGCACCTCCCACTTTACAGTCACTTCAGACAGACAGGTAGCAGCACCTCCCAATTTACAGTCACTTCAGACAGACAGGTAGCAGCACCTCCCACTTTACTGTCCCTTCAGATAGACAGGTAGCAGCACCTCCCACTTTACAGTCCCTTCAGACAGACAGGTAGCAGCACCTCCCACCTTACAGTCACTTCAGACAGACAGGTAGCAGCACCTCCCACTTTACTGTCACTTCAGACAGACAGGTAGCAGCACCTCCCACTTTATAGTCCCATGTTATGCCGGCTTTTCTTGGTTTATTTTTAAGGTGAATACAGTAAAATGTGTATCTAATAACGTCATCACAATCGCCACATTGATATGGAAACTAGGCGTTAACTAGGCTTAATTAAAATGCGCTAATTTGCATGCAGTTACCAAGGCATTGCAGGTGAAAAGGATCAAACTAAAAAACACATCACCTCACAACTTCCCCAGATAGTTACTTACGTCAAGTCAGTATTTTCCCTGAAATGTTATGTTTAAATGCAGATTAGTTTTAAATCTATAGATGAATTCAGACATGGCAGCAAAGCGAACACCATTTATGTGTTTCTTGGAAGTTTTCTTTCCATTAGAGTGAAAGAAAACATGGAAGCAAAATAGACCAAAATAACAAGTACATGAAAAAACGATCTTTTTGCCTGTAATGTCCTTAAACAGTAACTTCATCATTTTGATTGTTGGCTGCTCATTTAATAACTATGAATTGTACTAGTTTGTTGTCTGCTCTTGTGCTTAGTGAATACTAAAGAAGACCATTGTCTCTGTTAGCTGATTATTTTGTAGAATTCTGTTGAGTATTAAACAATTGCGTGAGTGTGAGGGTATTCAAATAAATTGGTCAGTAAGTCAGAGAAGTGCAACTATATTTCACTTTTTGTTTTAAAACATTTTTTTATAAATGATTATGGGAAGTGCCACTTGAGCACCCGCCCCCCAAAATGTCTGTGCACGTCCCTGGAGGTGAGGACCCCCCTAGAGGATATTAGGTCCACACACCACCTATAAAAATAGCACTTTACCCCTGCTTACACCTATATGCCGTGAGCTGATTATCGAGCCTTCATTGTAACAGTCGTGGATACACTGTGTATGTGCGTGGGGAGTGTTGCAGTAGAACATTTCTCTGTAGCACCCGGTACATTAATGGGAAACCCTGCATGTTTGAGCACCCTCTATGAAACGTCAAGCTACCCCACAGCACCCCCAAAATAAAATCTCTGGCGCCGCCACTGAGCCTGCAACCCCGCTTAGAAGAAATGTGCAGTGCAAAACAGGCTCATTGCAGCCACCTGTGATAAGACACACTTTTTTTGCCAAATATCAGCATTTTCTTTCTTTACATTTTTTTGCAAAGTGGCAAAGTATTATAACTTATTGTTCTAGCAAAGGGATTGCACAATTGTATTGTGTATTTTTTTTTTTGAGCACACAGACTTATGGAGCATTGTTTTATTATCACTGTTCTAGCAAAGGGATTTTTTTATTTTTTTGAAAGGAATGCTCACGTTCATATTGATGTATTTTAATAAATGTTAACTTAGCCCATTACGTGACTATTTGTGTTGGGGGGGCCCGACTTTTTTTTTTCTCCAAAGGGGGGCCTGACAGAAAAAGTTTGAGAACCACTGCCTTAACCTAAAGTATTCTTTCATGTTTAAATAAAGGTTAATTAGTTTTTCTGTTTTGCACATCCTCCTATTAATATCTTTGTACATCTGGCACTAAACTGTTTTATTGTAGAGATCACTTACAGTATCTTCTTGATATTTTATATTCTATATTTCTATCATTGATCTTCTACTTTCCCCCTATTTTGTATGTAAATATAACATATTCAACAAAAAAATTCAATAACGTGCTTTAACCACTAGGCGGTGCGGGTTAAAAAACTGTCAAGTTTAAAATGTTAACACAATAAATTATACTTTCCAGTATGAGTTTCCAGCTTAGTTCATGACGGATGTATTTTGTTATCCACACATATTTTCTTTTGATATTTGAACCTACACCTGCGACAGTCAAAGACAGGCAACTGTTGAGGAGTTGGAAAGGTCTGAAGATGTTACAAATAAGGTACACACAGCATACAATGTCATAATAACTTTGTATTATTAGTGCAGGACACTTATGTATGTATAACATCTGAAGATGTGTAGTTTTATTCATGTTTTCACATAATTTCACAGGATATTGCTATATTATTTCACATATTGTAGTTGTCATGTCTTGGAAGATAATTGTGAAAGTGTATTCTTTAAATGAGTTTTGTCATGTCCCTTTGTCCTGTGCCTTCTGTTTTATTTTGAAAAGTAATTCTCCCTCTCGTTTCAGGACTCCATGCTCCCCGCCCCTATGTGTCTCCTGCGTTCGTGATTGTTTACCCCGCCCTGATTGTTTCCACCTGTGCCCCTCACCTT